CAGAGCAGCTGTCCGAATTAGCAGAAGATAAAAAGTGTGGACTTCTCTTGGATTTTCTGCGAAGGCAAAGAAGGGGAATGAGAGTCCTTTCTCCTTCCTCTTCCATTATATGAAGCTGTGATTCCAAAATAAAGCTAGCTTGGTGTAGTCTGTTTTTAAATTAAGGTATCTATATTAAGATATATATTTTAGATAGAGTAAAATGCACAGACCTTAAGTGTCCATTTAAATGAGCTTTGACAAAATGCATACACCCATGTACCAGTACCAGTTGCCGTTGAGTCGATTCTGACTCATGGAGACCTAGGTGTGAGAGTAGAACTGTGCTCCACAGGGTTTTCAATGGCTGATTTTCAGAAGCAGACCTCGGGGTCTTTCTTCCAAGGAGTCTCTGGGTGGACTCGAACCTCCAGCCTTTCAATTAGCAGTGGAGTACATTAACCTTATGCATCACTCAGGGACTCCACATCCATGTAACCAACACCTAAGTCATGATATAGAATATTTCCATCTCCTCTGACAGTTCCCTCATGTCTCTTTCCAGTCAGGATCCCCACTGCCACCACCAGAGGCAACCATTGTTCCAGTTACCATCACTATAGTTTTGTCTCTTCTTGAACTTCATATAAATGCAATTATACAGTATGTATACTGATTTCTTTTGCTCATCATATTGTTTTTGAGATTTATTCATGATACTGTATTTATCAGTAGCTCATTCTTTTCTATTGCTGAGTAGTAATACATTGTATGGATACACCACACTTTCTTTTACCCATTCTCCTGTTGATTAACATTTGGGTCATTTCCAATTTGAAGCTATTATGAGTAAAGCTGCTATGAACATCTTTGTACAAGTCTTTTTTTGAAAATATTTTTTGTTTTTCTTGAGTCAATACCTAGGAATGGAATTTCTGAGTCATAGGGTGGGTGCTTGTTTAAGTTATTAGAAACTTTTGCTTTCCAAAGAAGCTGTACACTCCAACTAGCCATGTAAGAGAGTTCCAGTTGCTCTACATCTTCACCAAACTTGATGTTGTCAGTCTTTTTAACTAAGTTATTCTAGTAGGTGTATAATGAGATCTCATTGAGATTTTAATTTGTATTTCCCTGATAATTAATAATGTTGAACACTTTTTAATATGTTTATTAGCGATTTATTTACCATCTTTGGTAAAGTGTCTGCTCAAGTCTTTGCCCACTTTTTCAATATGCTTGTTCATGATTTTACTATTAATTTGCAGATGTCCGTATGCTCTGCACCCTAGTCCTTTGTCATATACACCTATTGCAAATATTTTCTTCCACATTGGCTTGTCTTTTTATTTTCTTAACATCTTGTTATGAGAAGAATTTGTTAATTTTGATGAAGTCCAATTCATCAGTTTTGTATTTCATGATAACTGCTGGAAATTTCATTTTCAGGATTTTTGAAGTCTCTGTTTTCAGCCATTTCAAAGGAAGTGTTTTCTTGTGATCGAGGCTTCTCCTGGTGGCTGTTTCCAGGGAAGTTCATTTGAACACCAGAAATATTCTTCAGGAATTTTTAGATATATGGGAAAAGTGACTTTTCCCATTGTTAAAAAAAAAAAAATGTGGATTGCTTTTTGGAGGATTTTTCTTTTCTTCAGAAAAGTCTTTACTAAGCAACTTCCAAGCATTTCTATTCCTAGGAATATACCCTAGGGAGACTCCGGCTCATGCACACCAGGAGACACACACAGAAAAGTCTAGAGCAAATGTTTATGAGAGCAAAAAACAAATAAATGCTTATCAGCAGGAGAATGGACAGATAAGCTGCGCTGTTTTTGTACAATGGAATACTACATAACAGTGAAAAAACAGGAGTTTTGCTACATACATCCACATGGATGAATGACAAAAATACAATGATGTGAAAATACAAGTCAAAGAGGCTTCATATGATTTATTCCATTATGTATGAAGTTCAAAAACAGCAGAACTAAACAATATACTGGCTAGGGATACATAGATAAGTGATAAACTAGTAAGAAAAGCAAAAACCCATTGCCATCAAGTCGATTCAGACTGATAGCGACCCTATAAGACAGAGTAGAACTGCCCCATAGAATTTCCAAGGAGTGGCTGGTGGATTCGAACTGCTGACCTTTTAGTTAGCAGCCTGAGCTCTTAACAACTGCGCCACCAGGGTTCCAAGAAAAGCAAAGTAATAATCCCAAATTTAGGATAGGGGTTTCCCCCTAGAAGTTGGGAGAGGGGTACCACCAAGGTGAGGTCCAAAGAGACCTATGGTACTGACAATATTCTGTTTCATAAACCAAGTGAGAGGTATAACGGGCTGATTTTACCTTTAGTCTTCAAACTTTACCCATATGTTTTGGGCACTCTTTTGTATGCATGATATATTTTAAGATTTAATTAGAAGAAAGGAAGGAAAGATGGGAGGGAAGGAGGAAGGAAAGAGGGGAAAGAAGACTGTACTTAAAGTTGTCCCTTAGGAGGAAAATTGGCAACTATCCCAAGAAAATAATTTGAATATGAAGAGAGGCAATCCCGGAAAATTGTAGAGTACACCTTAAATCTTCACTACCATACTAAAACTTCAAAGATCTTGGGTGGTGTGAATAGTTTGCAGTCAGCTAGTAACCAAAAGCTTGGCGGTTTGAACCCACGCGGAGGCACTGTGGAAGAAACAGACATGACAACAGTAAAGATTACAGCCGAGAAACTCTATGAAGCAGTTCTACTCCGTAACACATGAGGTCTACTGAGTCACAAATCAAAAACAAAATCAACGGCATTCTAAAACCTCATTTATGTTTTGCACTTCAATGTTAAATATTCACTTTTAAGAGGAAACTCTTGGTTCTTCGGGCACTATGTGCAAAGTCCATGCTTGGTACTTGAGGTGCACAGAGACGAGTCCAGGGCAGAATGTCTAGGGAGGGAGACGAGACCAAGGGTGAGACTGTCTGAGCATGTGCTGTCTAATCCACTCATGCCAACAGAGCAGAGGGACGTGATTTCATTCCTGCCCAAGGGAGCTGGGAAGGCTTCATGAAGGGGGAGACATTTGAGCTCAGCCTAAGGGATGAAGAGGATTTTTATAATTAGACAAGAGAAGGAGGGACAGGAGTCCTTCCAGGCCAAGGACCAGGAAGAGCAAAAGCACGAGGCCTGGAGAAGTATGTCTTGCTCGAGGGATAATGTGGTTAGACATGACAGTGTTGGAAGGGAGGAGAAGAAACGGGGGGCGGAAAAAAATGTAGTAGAGGCAAAGTAGAACTAGACTCTGGAGAGTTGAAATGCCACTCTGCAGAGTTTGGGTTTTATTCTGTGGGGAATGGGAAGCCATTGACTGCTTTGGAGCTAGGGAGTGACATGCTTTTCTGGCAAATCATCCTGCTAGCAAGTCTGTTGAACTCTAAAGCCTCACTCACTCCTCCATGCAAAGGTGGAGTGATTGCACACGCTAGGCAGAGATCATGAGGCCCTGAACTGTTGCCTTGAGATGGAGAGAGAAGAGGGAATGCCTCTGAGAGCCAGATTGGAATGCTAGGTTTGCCACTGTGATAGCTGATTTTATGTATCACCTTGGCTAGGCTATGGTACCCAGTTGTTTGGTCCATCACTAGTCTAGATGTTGTTATGAATATATTTACCTGTGATTAGCATTTACATCAGTTGATCTTAAACTCAGCAGATTACCCTCCATAATGTGGGTGGGCCTCATCCAATCAGTTGAAGGCCTTAAGAGCAAAAACTGAGGTTTCCTGAGGGAGAAGGAATTCTGTTCCAAGACTGTAAATAGACAAGACTGAGTTTCCAGCTGGTCATCTAGGGATTTTGGACTCACCAGCCCAGAAAATCATGTGAGCCCATTCACATATATATATGAATTGGTTCTGTTTCTCTAGAGAACCCCAAAACAGCCACTTACTAGCTCTGCAGTCTAAGCCAATTGAGCTAACAATAGTAACTGTGCCTACCTCTTAAATTTATTTTAAATTAATACCCATAAATGTTTAGAACAGTGATTGGCACAGTAAGCACTTAGCAAAGGTTAGCTATTATTATTTTCAGATGTAAAATCAGTAGACTTAGCAACTAGTTGAACTTAGGAAACAAGGGAAAATAGTCAAAGATGTTCCTCAAAGGAATGTGGCAAATACTCAGAATTATTAACAGTAGCTAGAAAACAGCAAGAAAAAATTGAGGACCAGTCTACAAAAATAACTGACCTATAATCTTTAAAGTGTCAAGGAAACACCGAGGAACTGTTCCATCCTGAAGGAGACCAGAAGGGCATGACGACCAGAAGGGCATGACAACCAGAGGCAATGTGTGATTTTGAACTTGCTTCATTGGCTTCAGAGGACATTATTGGGACAATTCAACTGAAATTTGAATGGCGTCTCAGGATGTGGTTATATAGGAGAATGTGTTTGTTTCTTTGTAGAAAATAACACTGAAGTGTTCTGGGGTGATGAAACATCAGATCAGCAACTTATTTCTCAAATGTTCAGAAAGTTCTTTGTGTTGTGCTTATAACTCTCTGTAAGTTTGCAATTATTTCAGAATGAAACCATTTATTTTGATAAGTAATGGCTAGCATTTATTGAGCACTCTATGTATCAGGTACTGTGGTCAGTGCTTTGCACATGAGCTAGGTGAGTGGATTCAGTACCCTCTGACTTGCATCCCTATGAAAGTGGAGTCCTATGCCCCTCCTCTTGCCCCTATAGCAGCCTGAACTCCTCCCACTACACTACCATATGGTAACTGCCTGTTGTTTTTTGTAACACCCCTCCCCGCATAGACAGTACGCTCTTTGAAGCCAAGAACGCTATCTCATTCTCCCTTATGTCCACAGCTCTCAGCACGGCTCCTTGTGTACAGTAAGTACTCAATACCTGCTTGGTAAGTGAAGCAATGAGGCGTGCTCACCACAGTGACTACAGTCAAAAATGAGGCACCAGATTTGGGATGCATGACTGACAACATGATTTGTTTTCAAGGTGGCCCTGGTTCTGGCAAAGGCACACAGTGTGCAAAGCTGGTGGAAAAATATGGATTTACACATCTTTCGACTGGTGAGCTTCTGCGTAATGAGCTGTCATCAGAATCTGAAAGAAGCAAATTGATCAGAGACATCATGGAACGAGGAGAGCTGGTACCCACGGTAAGCAACAGGACCTGCCCTACACAGCTGCCTTCCCTTGCTGGGGAGATATTTTAGCGTGTTGTAATTAGTCTAAGCTACTGGAACAAAGAAACCCAAAGGGACAATAACTATGCTTCATTTATCTCCTATTTAAAAATCAGAGGCAGGCAGGAGGTCCAAAGCAGATAGTACCTCTGCCCTACTGCCTGTGTTCCTCTGTCTTGCTCTCTGTTGGCCCCTTGAGTGTTATCCTCACCAAAATGGTGGAAGCTGACTCACCACCACCACATCCACGTTCCAGCCCCAGGAAAGGGAAAACAGAGAAGAAATGGACATCCCACAATTTCTCTTTAAAGAAGTGACCCAGAAATTACCCACATCATTTTTTGCTTGCATTCCGCATTTGGCCACACCTGACTGCAAGGGAAGCTGGGAAATACAGTCTCTCTCTGAGCACCAGGTGCCTTGTTAAAGCTTGGGATGTGAGGGCAGAGGCATAACTAAGGTATGGCAGGTAGGGGGCCACTTGAAGGGGGGACACTAATGAGCAGTTTCTATTGGCCATTGCAGCTTTCATCTCCAGCTGTGAGAGATCATTCAGCCATTTAAAACTAATTACCATAGGCTCTGTTTTCTGTAGATAGACCCCTGTGTTGAGGGGGTTTTCTGCTACTAAATGAAGATGAGGAAATGGATAATGGAGAACAAGTCACTTTCAGAAGGGAGGGATTTCAGCTACCCCAAAACTTCTTATACATTCTCTTTGATAACTTAACCCCCTTTAACAAGGCACTATGCTCTTCGTTTTAATTACAAATAACCTTTGAACAAGTCCAAATAACCTAGAGATAAGTCCTTTCCTAGGAGCATGTTTATCACCAAGAGGGAGGGAACAACTTGAAAGGGCTCCGGAACCTGAAGGTGGAAGGAGGTTGGGGGAAGTTCCAATAAGGAGCAAATGGGGACATTGAAAACAAAAATAGCCTGTTTCATGATTTTCCTCAGAATGGGCCCCTGCCTTGGTCATCTAGTGCTGCTGTAACAGAAATAACACAGGTGGATGGCTTTAACAAAGAGAAGTTTATTCTCTCACAGTCCAGTAGGCTACAAGTCCAAATTCAGGGCATCAGCTCCAGGGGAACACTGTCCCTGTTGGCTCTGGAGGAAGGTCTGTGTCATCAATCTTCCCTTGGTCTAGGAGCTTCTCTGCGCAGGAACCTCAGGTCCAAAGGATGTGCTCTGCTCCCGGCACTGCTTTCTGGGTGGTATGAGGTTCCCGTGTCTCTCTGCTTGCTTCTCTCTTTTATATCTCAAAAGAGATTGGCTTAAGACACTATCTAATCTTGTAGACCTCATCAATATAACGGCCGCTAATCCATCTTATTACATCATGGTGATAGAGTTTACAACACATAAGGAAATCACATTAGATTACAAAATGGTACACAATCATACAATACTGGGAATGATGACCCAGCTAAGTTGATGGATATTTTTGGGGGACACAATTCAATCCATGACAGGCTCTAATGTTAAAGTTAAAGGTCTTCAAAGAAGAGGTAAGTGTGCACAGCAGAGTCTAGAATTAAAAACCCCCAGAAAATGGAAAATTATAATATTTTTATCTAGTTCTGGGCAATGTGATAGCATAATCTTGAAATTTGGTATCTTCCTTAAATAGGTAGGTAAAGAGCATCCCTTTTGTATATCTTCTTTCTTCTCAAGTCACCATCCATCTCTGAGAAGCTGATGTCATTGGTACCAAAAATTATTTATTATGTCCTTGCCACACTAGGTCCCATGCTAGGCTCTGTAAGAAGGGTCTATTATCTAATGGAGCTTCCGGCTTCCTCCGGAACCAGCTGCAGCCTATTCCCCTACTGCAAAGCCAGAATAGTCCTCATAAAAGGAGAACAAACCACTGTCCTTGCCTCCTTATCCAGCCTCCCTGCACCCACTCTTTCCCCCTACACACTACTCTTCTCACAGCAGCCTAAGCAATTCCTTTAAAATGCTTACCAAATCGTGTTATCCTCTTCCCTAGAACCTTCCAGTGGCTCCCCACCACACTTAGAATGAAATCCAGAGTCCTTTCCATGGCCCACAGAGTCCCTGGGTGGTGTAAGCATTTCACGTGCTTGGCTGACTACCCAGTGGTGCCTCAGAAGAAAGACCTGGTGATCTACTTTCAGAAAATCAGCCATTGAAAATCCTACAGAGCACAGTTCTACTCTGGCACACATCGGGGCACCATGAGTTGGAACTGACTCAACAGCAACCTGGTTTGAGTTTTTTGTTGTTGTTGTTGTTTTGTCCCATGGCCTACAAGGTACCACGTGCTCTGGCCTCTGGATCCTCCTCCACCTGTATTTCCCACCAGTCTCAACTTGCTCACTCCCACCCAGCCACTGGCCTCTTTGTTCCTCCCACAGGCCAGGCTGTTCCTGCTGCAGGGCCCTGGAACTTGCTATTTCCTCAGCCTGGAGTCCTCTTCTTTCAGATAGTCACATAGCTTCTCCTTTACTTTGTTCAGATTTCTGTCTTAATGCTATGATTTATCAAAAGAGACCCTCCCTGACTACCATATCTAACATAGCATCTCCGCCACTCTGTGTCTGTTTGCCCTGCTTCGATTTTGTGCATAGCAGTTATCTCTAGCTGATTTTTCATTGTGTATTTATCTCTTATCTATCTTTTATCTATCTTCCTGACTAGAATATAAACTTCATGAGGAGTTAATTCACAATTATCTAGGGATAGATTCATACCACCCTTGTAATGGGATGGCTGCATCCCCCAAGCCCCTGCCAAAGGCCAGGGGATGCCACGGAGCCAGGGAACAGAGAAAGCCCACCCATTTTGGCAGCTGGTTGCATTTTTCCTACACCCATTTCAAGCTTCCATGTATCTCTCCTCTTTCATTTTCCATAAGTCCATGTTAAATCAAAATTTTTAACAGAGAAAATAGTGTTGCTAGAAGATAATTCTACTTCACATCCACTGAAAGTCTTCCCAAATCAGTGCATGTCAAATATTATGAAATGTTAATGGAAAAAGATTAACAGTGAAATACATTTTTATACCATGATTTGTCTAGTTTAAAAACTACCATTTTGCCTAATTCATGGATGGCTTCATATGAAATATGGCTACCATATTTCATCCAATCTAAGATGCCATCTATTTTTAAGACACTCCTGTAAAATATAACCATTAAGAAAAAACACTAACAGGTAAACTATGTCCCAGCACTGATTATAAGAAACCAACCAATTTCATAGACATTAAAATAGAGAAGAAAAAAAAGTAGGACTTAGAATTGATGAAATATGGTTTAATGCTGTCTGTTATGAATCTTATTTGAACTTTTTCCCCTCCATAACAAGGGGATTAAAGGAGACCTGTGGTTAAGACCTTGGCTGTTAACCAAAAGGTCAGCAGTTTGAATCCACCAGCCACTCCTTGGAAACCCTGTGTGATAGTTCTACTCTGTCCTATAGGGTCACTATGAGTCGGAATCGACTGGACAGCAATGAGTTTGTTTTTTAGGTTTTTTTTTTTTGTGGTGATTCTGGAGTTTCTGGGTGGTACAAACAGTAAACTCTTTTGGCTGCTAACTGAAAGGTTGGAGGTTCAAGTCCACCCAGAGGTACCTTGGAAGAAAGGACTGGTGATTCACTTTCTAAAAATCAGCCATTGAAAATTTACGGGGCACAGTTGTGCTCTGATACACACAGAATCACCATGAGTCAGTCCATCCCATGGCAGCTGGGGTTGGGGTGTGTGTGGTGATTCTACCATTGTTCTGTGGAAGCGCTCTGGTCTTGATCACCCACTTTCCCTCTGCTCCAGGGCATCGTGCTGGCGCTCCTGAAGGAAGCCATGGCAGCCAGCCTCGGTGACACCAAGGGCTTCCTGATTGACGGCTATCCCCGGGAAGTGAAGCAAGGGGAAGAGTTCGGACGCAGGGTGAGCTGTTTTCTCATCCAGGAGAAAAATAGGGGACATCATTGAGGTTAGGGGATACATTAATCAAATTTTCAGTTACAAATGGCCAAAAAAAAAGGCTGGGGTGGAATTTATTGGCTCCAGGAATGAAAAAGTCCAGGGATGGTCCAGACTTGGCTAGATCCAGACATTCAAATATGTTCCTCAATCATCTGGCTTTCTCTGTCTCTTAGATTTTCTTTCCTTTGTGATGGCCCCATTTTCTTCCTGTTCCAGGCTTATGTTCTACCATCTCAGTGACCTCACAAAAGAGTGTTTCTGTTTCCCAAAGTGTCCAGCAAAAGACCCAGGGTTGTGTTTTACTGTCCTAATGAGGGCACGCCTCCATCACTAGAGTAGTCACAGTGGCCAGGGGGATAATGGGATAGGGTGTGCTGACTGGTCCTGCCTGGAGTGCCAGTGGGGAGAAGGGACAAGGGTGCCACACGTGAACCTCACGTTCTGAGAGAGGGGAGGGAAATTCCCCAAAGGGAAAAAAAATACGATGCTGTTACAAGAAGACTGGGGAATGGATGTGGACAGGCAGAATCAACAAATATGTACCATCCCATCCTCCTTCTCCCCCAGCCTCCCTGATGCCCGCCCGCTTCGAATGAAGAGAGATCCCAGGGGGCTCATGGCCACTTCCAGGGGAGCAGCAGTGAGTCATATCCATCGTAGCTACCATTTATTGAACCTACCCTGGGCTAGGTTCTGTGCTACAAACTTTACGTACCTTATCTCTAATCTTACAAAATCTGAGAAAGAGGGGCACAAATGTCTCCATTTGTTAAACAAAGATTTCAGAACATGAAAAGAATTAATATTTACATCAATATCTCTTTAGACTAGTTTACAAAACACTTTTTTTTTAAGGTGGACAGTTTTATTCAGACAGAGCAGAGTAATAGCTTATCCAAAACATATTACCAATGATGTAGATCTCTTATCATCTAGATTCTAGAAACTAGCTATACAAAATTATAGTGATATATGTGAGTGAAGAGAGATATTTTTAACTATAAGTGGAAATATGAATGCTTAAACATGAAAACTTTCCTCCATAAATGCAAGAACAGAATTATGCCACTGGCCCTATCCAGAAACCTCAGCATCCAGTGACTTGAATTTTAATCTTTGTAACAAGGGCTTGAAAATCTGAGGGGAAGAAGTCTTATTGGAGATTCTTAAGGGGATGAAATGACATAGGAGATCTCAGGAAGAGGGGGAGATTCTATGTCCGAAGTAGAAGGGATATATTCTGTGTTAATTTTCTGGACCATTGAGTTAAAAGTTCTTTCTGAAAACTTGGAGATAAACTAAAATTTCCTTACACGCTGATAACTTGGAAACATTTTGAATTATCTTTTCTGTATTTCAGTTCCTGTGGCTCTTTGTGCCTGTTTGGCTGTGTTTCTTCTTAGAGAGGGAAACAAAAAACAAATACTTCCATTAAATCCCTGATCCAATTAAATATGTGATGGACAGCATGGTTTTATATAAAACATCCCTCTGAAAACTCATTTGCTTAAATTACTGTTGTTTTAACTTGAGCTATACGTTTTGCGTAAATGGTTAGATTTGCTGAAATGACTGTGCAAAAGCTTTTTTTTTTTTTTTTTAATTGTGCTTTAGGTGAAAGTTTACAGCTCAGGTAAATTTCTCATTTAAAAATTTATACACATATTGTTTTGTGACATTGCTTGCAATTCCCACAATGTGACAGCACACTCCCCCTTTCCACCCTGGGTTCCCTGTGTCCATTCTTCCAGTTCCTGTCCCTTTCTGCCTTTTCGTCCTGCTTTTGGGCTGGAGCTGCCCATTTGGTCTCATATACTTGATTGAACTAAGAAGCATGTTCCTCACATGTGTTATTTTTTGTTTTACAGGCCTGTCTAGTCTTTGAAACAAAACACTTTCATATACATTATCTCATTTGATTTTTTTTTAACGTCCTTTGAGATACCTTTTTTAAATACCCTTTGAGATTTTTTTAAATATCGTTTGAGATAGATTGTTGTTGTTAGGTGCTGTCAAGTTGATTCCGACTCATAACGACCCTAAAGGACAGAGTAGAGCTGCCCCAGACGGCAATCTTTATGTGAGCAGATCCTGAGGTCTTCTCTCCCACAGAGCGACCGATGGGTTTAAACCACCGATCTTTTGGTTAGCAGCCAAGCACTTCCTTATATTAAAGGTGATGGATTAAGCCCAGAGAGGTTAAATGACTTTGCCACAGTCACACAACTGATAAGTGACAAAGGTAGGACTCATATCCAGATCTGTCGGGCTTAATGGTCCATTCCCTTTCTGTCCTTCTGCAAATGCTGGTAGGTCTAAGACTGTGGGGAACCATCTCCATCCATCTCTAATACTGCAGCATTGGTCAAGGTGAATTATACTTAGGTTCCGTTTGACCTCCTTCTGAGCTACTGGTTTTTCCCTAGATAGTATCTGGAGGCATTGGTGGCTCAATGGTAGAATCCTCACTTTCCATGTGGGAGACATGGGTTCCATTCCAGACCAGTTTACCTCTTGTGCAGCCACCACCCAACTGTCAGTAGAGGCCTGCGTGTTGCTGTGATGCTGAACAGGTTTCAGCAGAACTTCCAGAGTAAGACAAACTAGGAAGAAAAGCCTGGCGATCTACTTCCAAAAATCAGCTAATGAAAACCCTATGTATAATAATAGTCCAATCTGCAAGCAATAATGGGGATGGTACCAGCATTTTCTTCCATTATGCGTGGGGTCTCCATGAGTCAAGGTCAACTCAACGGCAGCCAACAACAACAAGATGGTATCTAAATGGTTAAAGGATACAACTGCTCCCTTTTCCCTACATTTCCTATTTGCAATCAGAGTCCAAGAAAAACTTCCCCTGCCATGGTTAAGAAAAGCAGTATAGTTGGCAAGGATGGGCCCTGGTCCTCCCCTGGCTGTCCCTGGGCCTTTGTGGCTCTGCTCAGCGCCTCCACCACAAGGGGGTGGGGAGCAGGGAAAAGGAGAGAAATGGATTTGTGTGGTTTGTGACTGTGGCGGGTTCCAGATGATTCTCTTCATCTCTCCTCCAGAGCTGACTTCGTGGGGAGCAGTCACTCACCAAAATTCTAATAAGCTTCTTCCCACAAAACCACTTCAGGAGTGACAGATCTCAATATAAATGAACTTTTTTTTTTTTGCAAAGTGGAATCGGGCTAATTGTTTTGCATTTTTTTTGTACCAATCTCTTAGCAGTGTCCTGGAGCCCTGGTGGCACAGTGGTTAAGAGCTTGGCTGCTGACCAAAAGGTCAGCAGTTCAAATCCACCAACCGCTCCTTGGAAACCCTGTGGGGCAGCTCTACTCTGTTCTATAGGGTTGCTATGAGTCAGAATCGACTCAATGGCAGTGGGTTTGGTTTGGTTTGGTTTAGTTAGCAGTGTCCAGGCTGTGGATAAGACCCCTGGAGTACATCTGAGTAAGGGAAGAGCAAGGACGTTTATCTTACATCGCCTCAGAATTGGTGCATGTGCTAGGCTGGGGGCCTAAGGACACAGAGATGAGGAAGCTGTTGTCCAGGCCCTTGAGGAGCTCCCTGCCTGGTGGGGACGGGCAGTTGTGTAAACATGCCATTACAATACAATGGGAGAGCTGTCCTCACCACTCAGGGGCAACAACATATGCTGGGTTCAGGCTTCAGGGCTGTGAGCACCCTACCTGGGGACTTCACAATTACCTTGCCTGTGAACTTACCTGGGAATGCCAAGGAGGAGGCTGGGAGAGTCAAGGACAGGTCTGACATTCAAAGGATGTAACTACCTTTTTGAGCACTAAAACTTCCAAGTGCTCTTTAAGTCTTTGTTGAATAAAGGAATAACTGAGTCTAGAAGGCCATCGCTTGCTTGGAAATGCTGAGAAATTTTTTTCAAAAATCCTTTTTCTTAATTGCCCTCAGAGGTAATAGATTTTTCTTTTGAAACCCCCAAATGGTCAAGGATCATTTATATACAAGTGTGGTAAATAAGATATACAGTAAAGATGGGCATCTTGTTTTTGTTTTTGGTGGGGGCAGGGGGGCGGTCAAATACTAGGTGAAAACAACAACAAAAATATGATAATCCTTATTCCCCCTTTGGGGCTTTTTAAACTGGATCTGAAGGCAAATCCTAGTACTTAGACCTATGGGGTCAGACTCTTTTGAGCAATGACAACACTACTGGGATCCATGTAGAGCCTCTCACGGTAACATCTTTAAAGGATACCACTCATGTGGTCCAAGAACTTGAATCTGAGGTCAAAAAACTTGGATTTTCACCTCTGCCACATACTAATGTGACCTTTGATATGTCACCCAACCTCAGTTTTCTCCTCTGTAAAACGTGGATAATAATACCTGTCAAACCCTATTTAGAGGGTTTTGTGGGCATCAAATTACAAAAGTACATAAATGTGTTTTATAAGCTATGAGTCATTTGTTTTTAATCACACTTTATACAAACCTCTAAAATCCCTGCTTCGTCACCCCTTACTCTTTTCCTTATAACCAGTTAGGATGAGCTATAGGCTTTACATGGCCAATTACTCTGTCCCCTGGCCTTTGGGTAAATATGAGTTCAAATCATCCATATGGCATTATGCTGAGTAAAATAAGTCAATCACAAAAGACCACTGTTATAAAAACTTATGAAAAGGTTTATACACAGAAAGAAACAATCTTTGATGGTTATGAGAGAGGGAAGGGGTGAGGAAGGAAAAACGCTAACTAGACAATAGATAAGTGGTTAACTTTGGTGAAGGGTAAAACAGTACACAATCCTGGGGAAGTCAGCACAGCTAACCAAGGCAAGGTCATGGAAGCTTCATAGATACATCCAAACTCCCTGAGGGACCAAATTACTGGGCTGAGGACTGGGGACCATGGTCTTGGGGAACATCTAGCTCAATAGGCATAACATAGTTTATAAAGAAAATGTTCTACGTCCTACTTTGGTGAGTAGCCTCTGG